ATCCTGACATTGAAATACAGTGTTTGAAGAAAAAGAATGTGTTAAATGTTCTGATAAAAGAAAAATATAAAGATTTGAAAATGCTCTCTCAGAGCTCATCAATCAATGCTATTTTTGTGACAAATGCTCCCAACTCACGCTATCTGGGGTAACAGCGTAACTTATTACCTGTCACATAGTTATAAGCGGTTGTAATTCATATTTCTTTTTTTCTCTTTTATCGAAATTAAGTAGAAATCGATACCTCCTGTACATATCATATTTGTACAATTACCAATGTTTACTTCTTAAACAAAACACATTCATATTAAATCATAAGCCTTTACGTAGGATAAGATTTATGTAAAAACGAATGAGAATCGGAAAATGTTGAAAAATTCTTTTTCGCTTTATTTGTATTTTCATTTTGTAAAATAATTACAAATTTTGAATGAATATTCTTTTCTCATTTCGTAATGAATGTACATGTCACATGTACAATTTATTTATGAATTTATATAACGAATAAAACTTATTTTAGAATTGAAATATACATATATATATATATATATAAAGTTTATATGATTTATGTGAGAAAGTAAGTTCATTTAAACTTGTATGTGTTTTTATCAATTTGGAAATTATATCTAAATGTTCAAATTAAACATTATATAAAATTATTTATGAATTAAAATTGTAACATTATTTTAAATATATATGAAATAGATAAATCTATGAAAATACAACTTCATTGATTTTCAGGACGCATTGATTATTGAACTTTGATGTACAAAAGTTTTAAAAAGTATTGAATTTTATATTGAGTTACATTAGAATAACATCACTTACCGAAGACTACTAAACAGAAACTCACTAAACAGTTATTAATTATCAGTTCTAATAATAACTTAGTACTATTAAAATAATAATATAATATAATAATGTAATGATACTGATACTGTAATTAAAGACTGTACTATTATTATTAAATTGTTAATCAGTAAGTACCTACTGTAATGCAAGATTCGCAGTACAAAAATTCCAATGAATAAGAACTGTTAAACGTATAGAAATTCGAGATGCATTTGCATTTTTTTTTTCATTCAATGCGCGGTGTATTCTTGCATTGCATTCTGGTTGATGCACTTGGGAGAAAGTGCGGCATATTATATTAACCTTGCATCTCGGTCATTGTGCCACTTAAGACTTGCAAGGATGGCTTCTTGGTGACCTTTATTACTTTAAACTTGCTCGTTACTAACTCGTCTCCTATCTATATAATGTCTTTCTTGAAATGCAAACTGGCCATTATAGTGAAATAAAGTGAAATTTATATCTATTATTGTAAAAAAAAGGATACAAGTCTGATCGTAGGAACGTTCTTCCTTAAAACAAGATTTTAGCTTTAAGAAATATTGGAGTATCTTCGTTCTAGACATTTTATAACAGAAAAGGTATACAATTCTTATTTTTGTCCATTGCATGTAAGAAATTACATTTGCACTGCTTGCAACACTTTCTTCGTTCACTTGTTCTAACGAGGTCAGTTAACCTACTTTCCATCATTGTTCTTATTTAACCCTGTGATCATTGCAACGAAAATTTCTTTATTTTCAAGATTTCTTGCCTCACTGGTATTAGATATATATCAAATACATATTTTTAATTTTTTATTAAAAATAAATATTAGTAATGGAATATTAATATAAATTGAATATTTTTCTCTAAATTGAATGTTGAAGTTCACTTGTAAAGAAATATTTTTGTAATATACGTTTAATTTATTGAAATGGTAACTTATTAAAATGATACTTACAGCGATTGAATAAATAAATTTGCTACATATTTGCAAGTAAATAGTTAATATAAGTCTTAGTTTAAATAATAAATTTCTGTTCTTCCTCTATAAAGGCGTCGATACTTTTCGACGAATCTAATACAGTTTTCAATTAATAAAGATTGGATAAATTGTGTCGAAAATTTTAATTCAAGTCTTTCGATATTAATCTAAGTTGATAAATATACATATTTACAAAATTAATAGAATTTTCGTATTATATTTAACAAGAAGGCAATATACATATATAGAGTGTGCCATATAAAATGTTAGCCATTTTCTCGAAACTGCTTATCTGAAGTACTAGGAGACAAAGGAAGTTTCCTTATTTTCTTTTAAATTATCGTATATCGTATTAATTTCTTCTTCATTATGAAACTAAACAATGTTTATTTGAAGTATTTTTAGTTATTCCACATAACTGAAGAATTATACATTAAGGGAACTTCTAAAAGAAGACTATATTATAGAGGCATTAAAGATTAATTAAAAATGGATTTATAAGTCTTTTGTCCAAAAAAAAAAAAAAAAA